GCTCCTGGCCGTCCTGCCCCCAGAAATGGAGAGTTGGATCCGGGAATGCGGAACAGAGACCAGCTCTCAGGCGGTGGCCCTGGCCGAAGGTTTCCTCCTGAGTCAGGTGGAAGAGCAGAAGAAGACAGAGATGCAGGTGAGCGAGACCTTCATTTTGAGACTTAAAAGGGGTGTTAATGTTACAAACAGTGTTTGAGTCCTTAAATATCTCCTCAATATGAAGAGAAGCTTAACACTGGTTCTTCTGCCACTTGCCATACAGAATGGTTGGGGGTCAGGTGGCATACAAGTTTAATAAATTATTATTGGTCGCATAGTCAGATATTTAGACTGGATTTCGTTGTTTTTTTTTATCAACCTACCAAATGCTTCCCAAGGACCTGTTGTTGTTTAAGAATATTAAATGAAACTTCGCAGGATATAAGCTGTTCCAAATTTGCAATTGACTAATGAGGATTTTATCATTCCAATGGTGTTCAAGTGGTGCTGCAGATATTTTGGAATTGGACCCAAGGGGCCTATTACTATCTTTGCTTTCTTTTGCCACAGTCATTCTACTTCTATTTGCGGATCTTTGTATTTGGTGATTTTCTCCAGTTCTTTCTCTTCTATTCTGCTCTCTTCAGGTACAGCCACATCCACCATCCAAATTATTTTTGTCTTTCTTATCAACAGTTCTTAAGTGTGGGGTGTTAACTATTACTACTGTGGACCAGGAGTTTTGCCAAGTTGTGAGGAGAGAACAAAATTCACTCTTTCTTCTGACATGATATGTGAATTCTTCTTTCTTTCTACCTGCTACTTTCCTTCCAGGAGTCATTCTTGCACATATTCCCTGATCATTCCAAGGATATACAAGATCCATCAAATTGCTCTCCGAAGCACCTTTCTAGGAAGTTCACTGAGGAAGTCCAACATCAGGACGCTTCACCGGGTAAGAATGGATTCCTTCCAAGCGGTATGAAATTCCAGAGAAAGACTCATTGTCTGGGTCTTCTCATCCATAATTTTGCTTTTGAAAACTCTTCTTCTACCATTTTTGTCTCCTTTACAGAAGATAGAACAGTTCCATTGATATTTCTAGGATCATCTCATTCTGTTGATGGAGCTGAACAAGTAACTGAATCAGCTGCTCAGGTAGGAGGAGAAGCTTCAGAGAGTTGCAAAGAACCATTTTGAGGCCTCCTGATTTGTTGTGGGGTTGACAGATAATATTGTTGCTTCTACACAACATGGAAAGGGAAAATCTGGGTTCAGTCCTTGATCAGTTACCCTCACCTTAGCTCATTTGCCTTCTGGTCAAAGTTCAATAGCTCAATTATCTGTTGGGAAGCAGGTCATCGACATATTGACAGCATTCTACCGAACTTCTAGATTCCTAAATCATCCCTTTATGCTGCCTGCAGAATTCTGAGAGTTGAAGTCCACAGGACTTAAAAGTTGGTCTAGAAGCTACCTAGGCAATTTTGTGTTGAGGGAGAGTGTTAATCCCTGATAAGGTATCATAGCCCACATGTGATGCATGTACCAAAAAGCTTAGGGCTTTGGTTTTTTTCTCACTTCCTTTACACATGACCCCATTACCCTATTTGGCTGTAATACACATCATTGCTTTTGATTTTGAAATTCTTCCTTTAATGTCTTTGATCTTGCTCATTAATGTTTTAACTTTGGTTTATATGGTTCCGACATTTTTGCCATAGATTCCTTGTTTGGTATTTCAATCATTTGTGTACAGTTTATTTCCTGCTAGCTTTGGGGGCATTACTTAAATTTATCACTTAATATTATATTGTAAAAGAGCGGTGTGGTGGCCTAGTGGTGAAGATGCTCACCTCCCACTCGGAAGGTTAAGAGTTCAATCCTAGATAGCAGCAGTTGTTTCTCTCTTAGGGCGCAAAGAAAAATATCTGTGAACTCCATGCAGGCATCAGAAAGGGGATTCGGCCAGTAAACACTCAACTCCATCCAGTTGCCCCCACTCTACTTCAAATTAAAGATCTACAGGATCGTTAGAAAAAACATATAGTAAAAATGCTTGTTTATGATCATAGTGAAGATTGATTTTGATTTTTTATCTGATACATAAAAGGAGTGCCCTGAAGATATTTTTTTTGCTAAACCTAATCCAGGTAGAGACTTCAAAATAAGTATATGAGCACCACATTTCTTTCTTTTACATCTAATTGGTTTGAGCATTTCTTTTTATCTCTGCCTAAAATGTCACACAGAAATGTTTCAGCACATCCTTCAGCAACTCTGAATGGTTGCAAATCGCTCAGAGTCCTGCATTTGAGACAGCCTTCTGCATAAATCAAAATAGTAAACAATCAGGAAAAATGGCCACTGAGGTTAGCCTGGATTTGGAGACAATCCAGAATAATAATTATTTTTTCCCCTGAAGGTCACTGAAAATCCTTCAGAAATTGTAAAATGTATTTTTTAAATATAAATTTGTATTTACCAGGAGCAACTTAAACATAGGGGTTCTTTTTACTCTAATCAAAGAAGTTAATTTAGCCATCATCAGAAGTCCCATCCTCTTCACCATAAAACAGTGAAGTTTCTTAGCCTTGCCACAAATGTTTCATCAGACAAAGCCTGCCATCCGTGCCACTTTCCTCATAAAATATTTTGCATCCTTTAGAAACACCCATGCGCAGATCTCTGCTTTAAAGATTGTTCGACAAAGGAAGAGAATTGGCAAGTAATTCCTTGAGCTGTTGGTTAACATGTTCCTGCTTTTCCTTGTTCAGGAGAGTCTTGTGTCATTCAAGGAGGTGGCAGTGTATTTCTCCGAGGAGGAATGGTCTCGGCTGGATTCCTACCAAAAAGCCCTCCATAGAGAAGTCATGCAGGAGAATTCCCAGAATGTGGCCTCTCTGGGTAAGGACCTCTGCTGGGCCCTCAGATACTTAGAGGAGACGTTTGTGATATGATGAATTTTGCTATTTCTCTGTAAAAGATAGCCCTGCTTCTGGGAAGAGATGAAGCCAGTAGCTTAGGTTTGTTGTTGTTGTTAGATGCGAATTCGTGTCCGATCATCACGACCCCATGGACAACGTTCCTCCAGGCCTTCCTGTCCTCTACCATCTTCTGGAGTCCATTTAAGCTCACGCCTACTGCTTCAGTGACTCAATCCAGCCACCTCATCCTCTGTCGTCCCCTTCTTCTATTGCCCTCAATCTTTCCCAGCATTAGGCACTTCTCCAGTGAGTCCTTCCTTCTCATTTGGTGGCCAAAGTATTTGAGTTTCAACTTCAGGATCTGGCCTTCTAAAGAGCAGTCAGGGTTGATCTCCTCTAGGACTGACCGGTTTGATTGCCTTGCAGTCCAGGAGACTCACAGGAGTCTTCTCCAGCACCATAGTTCAAAGGCTTCAATTCTTTGGCGCTCAGCCTTTTGTATGATTAGGTTAGGATCAAGGAATTACGCAGGTGTCCAAATGAAGTCAGAGACCCTGACAGGAACTTGCAGTTTTATATAAATAAATATATTTTACATCTATACAGCAGACAAGATAGTCAGGCAATCAGGAGCATCATGAGGTAAATTGCAGAGCACACAGAGCACAGAAGAAAAAGGTGGGGGGAAAGGGAAACTTCCCTTCCACATGCACAGCAACCAATCACAGAACAGATTACCTCACGCAGGAGCCTGCACTCTCCAACGAATCTAATATAACTGTGCATTCTGGCTCATTGCACAACCCCACTGCTCCAGCTACTAAATAATATAAGAATGAAGAGAAGGAGAGGAGAGAAAATATAGAATGGAATGGAATGGATTGGAATAGAGGAAAATTTCATACTTCGGGTAATTTGGGGACTCATAAAAGATGTTACGTACTTTTACCTCATCAACAGTGAATCTTTCTGGAGGAACACCCTTGTTTGCTCTTTCAGACCTCCATGGAATAAACAGCTCCTATTTCACCAGAATCTCAATTCTAAACATTCCCTTGAGCTACTATTGGATTGCTGTTTAACATGTCTATGTGAATGCTGCAAAAGCTGCTGAAAAATTGGGTACAGTCATGTGATATCTCAACTTACAACTGCAGCAAACCACAGACATAAGTCAAGGATTACCAGTAGTATTTTCCCAGAGAATTGGATGGTCCCAATCCTTCTTTTTTCCAAAAGACTTTGAAGATGAACGCTGCTGAGAATTGATAGCAATATGTAAGGAAGGAGAATTGATTAATGAAGGGGGGAAATGTAACAACATTGATATGTTTTTGGTTTAAGATCAATGGATCCGTGGAGTTTTTAGTGCTTTCTGAACTTGATGGTTTGGTTGCAGATGTTTCATTACTCAACTAGGTAGCAGCATCAGAGCTAGTTAACTAGTTGGGTAATAAATATATGCAACACATTACTAACCTCAGAGAGCACCAAGGATGCTATAGTTCAACACTGTGCTGCACAGATTCTCTCCTGTTAGAATCAATGGATCCTATATAGATATAATCTTTATCAAAAGTCAGCATTCAGTAAACTTTAGATTGTCTTTTATGTTGATCAGTACGACAGAATTTCTAAAAGCTGCTTAGTCTTGGTCAACCTTCCCAGCTGGATGTTTAGAGTCACTTCTTATTCTTTAAACTTTATTTTTTGTACCTTGCCATAACTTGCTTTCTTCTTCTTTTAAGGAGTGAATGAGCAGCGGAACAAGTCTTGCGAGATAACACTCCAGACAATCCAGCCCATAAAGGGAGCAGAACAAATTGCAAATCAGAAGGAAACAAAATATTGCCAAAGAAACATATCAAAAAATGGAAATAAGGAAAGCTTAGTTTTCCAGCCTGTTAGGAGTGGAAATAATTTTGCTGCACAACAACAAAACAAAGAATATTTGGGGAACAGAGTGAAAAAATTCAAAGAGAAATCAGATATAAAGAAACATTACAAAACTCATTCTATGCAACAATATGGATACAAAGAGGGTGAAAACGGTTGCAGTGGGACCCTTATTCTTCCCTTACCTGGAAGGGACAGTATGGGAGATAAACCCTATAAGTGCACGGAATGTGGAAAGAATTTCAGGTGGAATTGTCGGCTTATTTCCCACAAAAGGATCCACACAGGTGAGAAACCTTATAAGTGCATGGAATGTGGAAAGAATTTCAGGTGTAATAGTCAGCTTATTTCCCACAAAAGGATCCACACAGGTGAGAAACCATACAAATGCACAGAATGTGGAAAGAGATTCACTGAGAACACTATCCTTGCATGCCATAAAAGGATCCACACAGCTGAGAAACCCTATAAGTGCATGGAATGCGGAAAGAATTTCAGGTGGAATTGTCGGCTTATTTCCCACAAAAGGGTCCATACAGGTGAGAAACCATACAAATGCACAGAGTGTGGAAAAAGATTCAGCGAGAACACTTTCCTTACATGCCATAAAAGGATCCATACAGGAGAGAAACCCTATAAATGCTTGGAGTGTGGAAAATGTTTCCAGGAAATTAGATGCCTTACTTCCCATAAGTGTATCCACATGGGAGAGAATCCCTATAAATGCCTGGAGTGTGGAAAGAGCTTCAGTCAGAGAAGTAATCTCTTTTCTCACAAAACAATCCACACAGGGGAAAAGCCATATAAATGTCTGGAATGCGGAAAGACATTCCGTGAAAATGGATCCCTTACTTCCCATAAAAGGATCCACACGGGGGAAAAACCATACAAATGTCTGGAATGTGGAAGGACATTCCGTGAAAATGGATCCCTTACTTCCCATAAAAGGATCCACACAGGGGAGAAACCCTACAAATGTATGGAGTGTGGAAAGAGCTTCGCGAATAGTAGTAACCTTAATTCACATTACAGGATCCACATGAGAGACAAACCATATAGATGCATGATGTGTGGAAAGGGATTCCACCAGGAGAATCACCTTACTTCTCATACAAGGATCCACTGGGGTCCTAATCCATAGAAATACTAGATTTATTTGCTTCAGTTCATACATACTCAGTCTTTCAAACCTTGGAGCAGACATGTCAAACACAAGGCCCGGGGGCCAGATGCAGCCCGCGAAGTGGTTTCATGTGGCCCGCGAAGCCATCCTGGAAACAGTGAGGGAACGGTCCCCTTGGCCCTGGCCCAGGCCAGCTGGGAGCCAATGTACAATTTTGTGGTGGCCATCTATGCTGAAACACATTCAGTCTTAGCTCCATAAACCACCCCCCCGCATGGCCTGAGAGGAACAGTGAGGCTCCTCCACTGGACCATGCCTTGGCACTTGCCCCGGTCCAACCCCCTTCTGCTAGAGACCCTCAGATCTATCCCACTCCTGCCCAGGCCCCCACAGGCACCCTTGACGTGAACGATGTAGAGCTGGCCACACCCACCCAGTAGGCCACACCCACCCTGGCCACACCCACCCGGCCCCCTGAGGGCAACCGCAATGCTGATGTGGCCCTCAATGAAATTGAGTTTGACACCCCTGCCTTGGAGGGTTTGTGCCTTAAATTTCTCATGAGTTTCTTTCTGATACACAGGAGAATAAGGATTAAAGAATAATAATAACAAGAACAAACAACAAAAATAATAGAGTTGGAAGGGGCCTTGGAGGTCTAGTCCAACCCCTGGCTCAGGCAGGAAGCCTATACCATTTCAGACAAATGGTTGTCCAGTCTCTTTAAAAACTTCCAGTGTTGGGGAATTCGCAACTTCTGGAGGCAAGTTGTTCCACTGTTTAATTGTTCTGTCAGGAAATTTCTCCTTACTTTTAGGTTGCTTCACTCTTCGGTTAGTTTCCATCTGTTGCTTCTTGTCCTGCCTTCAGGTGCTTTGGAGAATAGCTTGACTCCCTCTTCTTTGTGGCAACCCCTGAGATATTGGAACACTGCTATCATGTCACCCCTAGTTGATGTGGTAGTGTTATGAATAAGCATGGGGAAAAGCGACATTTGGAAATCAATGGGGCCCAACATAAATAAAATAATATAAAATCAGGAAAAGCTGCTCTTCACTCCTATATAGTCGAGGAGTTTCTTCTGGTCTTCTGAGATTCTGTATACCTCCTAATATTAAAAGGTACTAAGGTACTAATTAGTACAAAATCACATGGAGCAGAAATAAAGACATTTGTGAATAAAGACAGTGTTTATTCATTTAGCTGCCTAATCACAGAAAAAATGTAATTAGGCAGTAAAATGAATAAACATTTACAGACATTTCTGCTCCATGTGATTTTGTATTGTGTGAACTTGGCCCCCAGGCATAGCCTAAGCTTGAATTAACAGAGCTTGCAAGGCTAAACCCTTGTAAATCATGATATTGCTTTGTATATTGTGTTTACTTGGCCAATAAATATCCCCCCAATTTTCTTTTGCAAGTCCTGTTATGATGAATCTGTTCTGTCCTAATAAAGCTGATGTCCTAATAAAGATGGATAGTTTTAAAGGTGATATCAGACTCCATGTTAATTTGCCCCCATTTGGGGGCAGAGATTGGCAGAAATCTCCAATCTGGTTTTGGATAGAGAAAATTTTACTCCCTTCTCTTCAAAATGCCCTTTTTTTTTAACACCAAGAGCATGCATAAGGGGGGGGGGGAGCTCACAAAGATGCTTTTTCACCAGGCAACTGAACTTTCTTGTTTTTCTTTGAAGACGTTTCGCTTCTCATCCAAGAAGCTTCTTCAGCTCTGACTGGATGGTGGAGAATGGAAGGATTTATACTCCTTGCAGACAGCTGGTCATTTGCATTCTTTTAGAGAGTCATTGATGCCACTTGGAGGTTTATCTGTATTGTAGACTGAAGATAAATGATGTCGTATCCTTCCCCCTCTGTTGTGAGAAGGCTGTTCAGTTTTGACATATATGGGCTCTTTGACTGAGAATCTCCATAAACTTACAAGGGGTACAACTGAAAACAAATCTTGTGATAGCCAGATCTTTTCATAACAATTCTGCTTGAGCAGGGGTTGGACTAGATGTCCAAGGTTCCTTCCAACTTTATTTGTCTATGGAGATTCTCAGTCATCCAGGTCATGGTTGAAAGAGGGATTTGAAAGGGGGTCAAAGAGGCCATCCATGTCATTGAACAGACCTCTCTCAATAGAGGGGGAGGGATACGACATCTATCTCCAGTCTATAGTCCTTTTAGTGGTTCCAAAAAGGCTCCACACCCCATTTGCACTACGCAGGTGACCCTGAGGACACAAATAAACCTCCAAGTGGCCTCAACGACTCTAAAAGGATGAAAGTGGCCAGCTGTCTGCAAGGAGTATAAATCCTTCCATTCACCACCATCCAGTCAGAGCTGAAGAAGCTTCTTGGATGAGAAGCAAAATGTCTTTGAAGGAAAAAGAAGAAAGTCTAGTTGCCTTGTGAAAAAGCATCTTTGGAATTCCAACTTTATTATTGTATACTTGCCCATGCCTCCAGGCATTTTAAAAGGTCATCTGCAGCATTCAGAATGCACTAAAGGCAAATGAGGTATGATTCCACAGGAAAGACTATTTTAAAGGATACAGGATTTGGGGCAAAAGTAAGGTGACCAACTTTTTTACAATGAGAAGGAGGACACAAATAAATTGAAGAAAAAAAGTGAGTCTAATGTGTGCGTGTGTGCCGTGTCGTGTTTCGGTAAGAAGTAAACAAAGCCACTTGCGTGCGGCGCACTCTTGCATGTGGCGCACTTTCTGAAAACAGTTCTTCTGTGCGGAGTGCATGTGTCTCATAATCGCGTCTCGCCGCAATGTACCAAGCCTTGACGAATCGTCATGTCAAATACAAATATGTCACATCACACGCAACAGATCAGCTGGGCATCAATTGAATACGGAGATTTACAGATTAGTCTTCAAATATCGAAAAGAAGGACATGTAGGAGGACACTTTTCGAGACAGGACAGAACTTACAAAAGAAAGACTGTCCTCCCTAAAGGAGAACGATTGGTCACCTTAGCAAAAGTAGAGTTTTACTGAGGTAGATTTGTCCCCAAAAAGATGATTAAATATGGCATAGTGGACTATCTTGCATTTCCTATTGCAGGGAGCCCTTGTGATGTCTATGATTGCAACAGAGGTGCCATTAAAATGATACTCTGCAATATCCTAGAGAGGCCAAACCTCTAGCCAGGATTCTTGCTGTTTGCCCAGTGATCCTTGGGGTTGAATTAAGACTCCCTGGTCTGGGTTGAAATGCCGCAAGCGAGAAACAAAATTTGTAAAATTATTAACTTTTACATAACCATCCATTGCTTCTTGTCCTGCCCTTGGGTGCTTTGGAGAATGTCCCCCCCCCAGTCCTTCTTTTCTCTAGACTAGCCAAACTCAAATCCTGCAACCCTTCTTCATGTTTTAGTCTCCAGGCCTTTAGTCATCTTAGTTGCTCTTCTTTGTACTTTTTCCAAAGTCTCAACATCTTTTTTGTAATGTGACCAAAACTGGATGCAGTATTCCAGGTGTGTTCTTACTAAGGCTTTATAAAGCGGTACTAATACACATGATTTTGATTCTATGCCTGTTTATACAATCAAGGATTGTATTTGTATTAGCTTTTTTGGCTGCTAGCCACACACTGCTGGTTCATGTTAAATGATCGTCCGCTAGGATTCCAATAGTCAACCACCTTCCTTGTGGGATGCCAAGGACATTGGGTGGCACCTCAGGGACATTTCTTCTTGTTGTTGTGCCATATCCATTATTGGACGTTGGTGATCATGTTGGCAAACCTGTTTTATCAGCAGCCGCACGAAAAAGTGCTGCTGAGTTTTGTCCAAACCAGTCCCTTAGATTTTGAAACCATGATGTTCTTTTTCTGCCTGGACCTCGTTTGCCTTCAATCTTTCCCTGGAGGATTAAATGGAGCATGCTGTATTTTTCTGGGTGTCGCATCACATGTCCGAAATATTCTAATTTTTGTTTTTTAATTGTTTTGATGATTTCCCTTGGCTTTCCCAGGCGGCTTATCACCTCCTCATTTCTGATCTTTCCATGACCCTGTCAGAAGTAAGTCTTCATCCTAGTTCATCCAAGCCAGGAATATTATCATTATTATTATTATTAAATAAGCAACATGGCGACTGCTTTGGGAAGATGGGTACAGTTTATTGCGGAAGCAGAAAGATGGCTCTTCAGGAAAGAGCAGAGAAGAAAAAGAGAGAGAGCACATGGGCAGTAGCTTTTTATACTCTCTGTAGCTTTTTGTTTGGAAGTTTTCCTGTTCCTGTGTTGTGAACTTTGAGGCTA